TAGTTTTTAGGACTTATTAAAGAAAACATCATGGTATTCCCGGAAACTGTTCATCTAATCATCATCTGCTGTAGTTCATAGTTGAAAGAAAATGAATATCAGGAGAGACACGTGCTCAGAGGTCAATCAAAGCAAACGGCCTCTTGCTTCCCTGCCACCTCTCAGCTCTGTCTGTCCTGCATCATTCTAGTGTTTCAGACAGTGGCTGGTGAAGAGCAGGTGTTCACCCAGGACATCGGGGTTTCTGCTCTGTGCTGCCGCTGTAAAATTCACACAGTTAACAGGTGGCAGTTTATTCCAAGGCAGTGCTTTGAAAAGGATGTAAACTGAGTAACTGACACTCAGGAGGAGCTCTCAGGAGTGCTGAGAACGAGGGTTGGAGACAGAGTCCTACTCTGACACCCAATTAGGAAAAGAAAGATTTTTATTTTATTTACGGCTCTGATTACCCTCTGCCCCAGAAACACATTGTTGCTCTGTATGCGATTGCCATTGCAGATGAATTGGAGCCCGTGGGTGGATCTCAGCTTTCGCTCTCTTGCTCCCATGCAGTTTTCCTTGTGGTTTGACAGTGGGTGTGAAACATCCGGATAAGCAGTACTGAGCCGGAGAAATCCTTGGGCTGCGTCCGCGATCCTCACTCTGCACAGCGGTCCTTTTAAAAGCTGCATCCCAGCAAAGGCTTGAGGATGACTGTTTCAGCTTCCTCTCTCGGGGCATCTCTGTGTTTTACAGTAATGGCTCAAGTTACATATTGGACCCACTTGTGCTTTGTAATGATTAACAGTGATTTTGTTTTAAGGTTCTGGGAGTTAAAAGTTATATTTTGAAAGGCGGCATCATGGAAATAACGGATTTACAGGGAGCTCAAAGGCAAAAACATCCATAAAAGTATTTTCTCTCTCTCATGAGGGACACATGTATAACTGCTGATATTTCTGCTCTATTAGCTGACACAACCCTTAATCACCTTGCAATCCATGAGATTAGAACAGGACAACATTCTGCCATCATGAGCAAAAACTGCTGCATGGTTTCATTCATCCTGAAAACGAGATCCTTGCATTACATTCTTGCTTCTTATCATTCACACATTTTAATCCACTCTGTGTGAGATGGAGTGTTTCTTGATTAGAAATGACCCGAATCCCATCGTCAAAATGTGAAAAGTACAACAAAGAACAAAATCCTTCAATCTACAAGAGCGTGTTTTATAAGTAATGATATTCAAAGTTTCAAAATATGTCTTTAATAGCTTTAATTCTTCCAATGTATTGTGGTTAGGGGAATAATACACAAAGTTATTATAACTATTGTCAGCTTAATGTAACATACAGATTCCAAAGGCAATCTGTTTTGCATTGGTAAAGTTCAATGTTTATTTTGGTCAAATGCACCAACCAACATAATGTTATTACAAGTTTTACCTAAAAAACATCATGTCCAGCACCGATGCTGAGACTCCCTTTACTTTGAAAG